GCGGCCTTAAGCTACAGCTGGACGCAAGGAAATGATGGTGGGCCGACGAGTTACCTGAAGTACTCTGGTCCTATCAAACTACCTCTCGGGAGCCTACTGGCGAAACTCCCTTCGCTATGGCCTTTGGCTCTGAGGCCATGGTGCCTGTAGAAATCGGTATGCCAACTGAAAAGATAGATTACTACAAGCAGACAAGGAACGAGGAAGAGCTACTTCTCAACCTTGACCTCCTCGACGAAAGAAGGGAAGCGGCCCTACAAAAATCGAATGGCAAGACACTACAACTCGAGAGTCCGACCTTAGAGCTTCTAGGTCGGACACATAGTCCTTCGCAAAGTACAGAAGCATGCTGACGCGTTGGAACCAGGTTGGGAGGGGCCATTCGAAGTCAAAGGAATAATCTGAACTGGGACGTATATGCTTGCTGATCTTGAAGGAACCTACTTCTTCATCCGTGGAATGCAAAACACCTGAAGCGGCATTACCCTTGAAATGTCGAAATGATCCAATGTAGAAGGGGACTTGTAAAAATCTTTCAGGGGTTAATTCCAGCAAAGAGCTCTGTATTATTTAATTTCATGTCTCCTAAGGGTTTGAGTTCGATGTAAAATTAAATGAGGGCCAGACGTGCACTAAGACTTAGAAAATTCAAACCTTCAGAACCTACGAGTTTGAGGTAAGATGTGAAGTAAGACTTAGAAAATTCGAACCATCAAAACCTACGAGTTCGAGGTGAGATGTGGGCTAAGACTTAGAAAATTTAAAACCTTTAAAAACTTGCAAATATGAAGTATGGTATGACAAAACTTAAGGTAGAATTTAAAAAAGAAATATTGTATTGATAATCGAAGTTTGGGCCGAGGCGTATAGACCTCGAGACCCAGTATAAAAAGGGAGAGAAGTAAAAGTACGACAAGAGAAGCAGGAAGAGTTGGAGAAGCCTCAGCTGCTTCCGAGGTGCGACCTGAGCTCGCCTTGAAACCCAAGAATATCAACCTCCTGAGAGTCTATCAGCCCGACCTCTTGGGAGGAGTTCACGCCAACAGTTGGAGGGAGAGTCCCATCAACTTCTTGGGAAGAAGGGGCCGCGTCCTCCTCCTTGTCGAGCTTGGCGTCAGACTCGAGCTCTTTCAGGCATTGATCCACAAAGTCTTGGGGGCCAGGAGTCCCGTTTGGACTCGAAGCCCACTTCTGGGCATACCTGAGCTTGATAGGCTCAAGGTCGAGCTCGGGAGCCACCTCTTTGACCCCCTTCATCAGAAACCTGGAGTTGGCGTTGCTGAAGTCCTTGGCAAATCCATCGAAGTCAGGATGCTGGCGGAAAGCCTCCTCTAGAAGAACCCCGTTACTAAGCTTGGACTCCGCCAGCTCAAGCTTTGCCTTTAGCTCTGCCATCTCGAAGTCACGAGTCTGTAGCTTGTCTTCTAAGTTTTCTCGGAGGCGCTCAAGTTCGTCGTTCTTCTTCATCAACGTGAACTTCTCCTTCTCAAGGCACTTGACCACAGCATGCGCACCCCTGAAGTTCTCCATGTGGCGAGCGGCCTCTGCCTTGACGCTCTTGAGCTCGGCCTTGTTGGCTTTGGAGGTGGACTTCCACGCCTGAGCCTCAGCGCGCGCCTCTTTGAGCTCCCCTTCTAAGGCAGCGGCAACCTCCAATGCGGCCGAGGAAGCCTCCCGTTCCTTCACAGTAAGAAAGTCGCACCCCTCCAATTCGGCCTTCATCATAAGAGTGGCCTGGCAGATGGCAGCATGAATCTGAAAAAAGAAGGCAAAATAGACAAGGGTTAGTCCCGTAAAGATTGTGCGAAGACAAAAGTATCAGATCATACCTTAGCCGAGTAGTCCAACATTCGTTGGATAGTAGACCCCGGGGCACTAACAAACTTAGACGCCCTTCTCCAACAACGGTCGAAGCAGGCGCTTGACATCCACATGACGTTCTCCTTCACCCCGGCACTTGAAGGTTCGATCTTGAACCTCATATCGACATCCGAGGTACCGTCCATTCTTGCCTCGGGATCGTCAACTAAGTCCACGAAAGGACTGACTCGCCGTTCAGCGCGTATCTCCCTCACCTCGTCCTCGGAGTGATGGACTTTCCATTTCTTCTTCTTGGACTTTTTGGGGGAGGCCCTCCTCCGAACCTCCCTAAGGGGGGAGACCTTAAGGATCTCTTGATCTTGGGAAGTTCCAGCCACTACAGCTCCTTGCAGTGAAGCCGCTCCGCGTTCGACCTCAACCACTTGGACCTCGGTAGGAGGGTTAGCAACAACAGGGCTGGGCGCTTTCTTAGCCTTGGAGGTCTGTCCAGCGCGAGGGCGCTTGCGCTTGACGTCATGGGAGAAGTCGCACACCATGGCTGCAAGGAAAACAAGGGTGAATTAGACGCAAAGTAAGAAAAACGCCAGAGATTGAGTACAAAATGCCCAAAGGCAACCAACCTAGTTCCGAGTTCGGTCTCCGAGCTTCGGGTGGGGCTAAGAGAGGATTGTAATCAAGCAATCCGAAGGCGAGGAGAAGCTTGTCTGTTATAAGCGTGCTGATTTGCTTACCGCTCCTGAATTTGCCTTTGAAAAACTTCAAAGCGTTGAAGGTCGACTCAGAAAGCTGAGGGATCGGTCTTATAGCGACTGAAATTGGCAAAAGCTACGAGTTAAACTATGAAGAGAAATAATTAAAAGCAGGTAAAGACTCAACTTCTTACCTAAGTTCCCAAACCTACAAGGGACGTTGTGGAAGGGCAGGTCGGACTCGTTCTTAGCCAGCCACGCTCTGGAGGTGAAGAACCATTTTCCAACCCACTTCTTTATGGAGGTCGGACCTTTCAGAATGCCTCTTGCGCCCTTCCTAGCACACAAGTAGTACCTCCTCGACTTCCTAGAGATCCGCTTGACCTCAAAGTAGGCTAAGAGCTGGTCGACTCCAAGGAGGTCTAGATCGTCTACCTCCCTGCATCTTAGCCAAAATAAGACAGCCAAACTAGAGATGACTCCCCATCCATTGGGGGCCACTTGAGCAGGAGCTAACCTGGTTCGGACTAAGAACTCCTGCGCTAAAGGATGAACGAGCAGGCGGAAGCTGTACTCAAACATCTTCAAGTAAAGGGTCAAGCACCATTCGGGTGGATTGTCGGCTTGCTCCTCTTCCTTAGGAAGCCTAAGGATAATGTCATCTGGTATGTTATATCTCCTACGAAGGGGGTCGAGGTAGTTCTCAAGCATTTGGGAGGAGTACTCTAAACCTTGGCCCGAGGTCGATGTATCGCTATCATCTTCGTCATCGTCAGAGAACCTAAAGTTTTCTATTTCTTTCTCCAGTTCGGAGTCTAACCTACTTGCAAATTCCTCTACAGAATCGGCCTTCTTGGGTGAAGAGTCCCCACTTTGAGCTGCGCTATTAGACAAGCTACTACTAGATGAACTTGGGGAGCTAGAGGATGTCGACATGACTTTAAAATTAAAAAAAGAAAGCGAAAAGAAAGCGAAGGAACGAGACTGACCTAAGGCAAAAACTCCGATCTGATCAGGTCGGACTCCAAGATTTCAGAAAGCGTAGAAAGCAGAGATGAAGCCTTGGGGATATTTATAGTCTCCTTGAAATTAATCCTGATTGTACACGTGTCAAAAAAAAGGACGACCCATATCGGAAGAATTTCGATCGTCAGAAGTATTCGAGTGTGCACCGGACACCGATTTTATTTTCGAGGTTTTTCAACGGTCATAATTACTATGACGACATCGGAAGTCACCACGTGGATTAGTTTTGCAAGGAGGACAACTTCTCTGCCAGATCGAGATCGAACCTGGCAGAGAGGGGACCAATGTTTGGGAGGAAAAATCTCCTTGTCACGTGGAGGACAGGGATTGGCCATCCTGGGAAGATTCGAAAGAACGATTTACGAAGTTCCATCTCGGAACCTTCCGATGTGGAAGACTTTCCTATTTTCTATAAAGAATCAACTTGTCTTTTACAAGGAAAGTGTTCGAGTTAGATCTGCTCGAGCCCGACACATCCGACCTCAAACCCGACCAAGGTAACCGCCTGTCGCGACCCCTGTAGGAGCCTAAACCTATAAATAGAGGGCCTCATTTCACCATCAAGTATCGAATTTCTCCTCGAACTTAATGTAGAGTCCGAGCTACTTACTGACTTGAGTGTCGAAGATTTTGCCCCCTTGTGCAGATCTTCCCTTAGCGTTTCAAGTCGGAGCAAGGACCGGGTTCGAGCTAGATTGACGTTGTGCAATTTCTTGCATAAACAAACCCCATCTGCTCATAAAAAGATGAAGTAAATCAAATTTAAACCTCAACGATCCCTCGTAAGCTAGTAAAGAAATGCCAGCACTCAGCAAGTTCGACTGCCTCCACGAGAGAATAATAAAAATTCCATCCAGGGAACAAAGAAGATTGTCTAACAAGTCAAAAAAGAATTGAGTTCCATGTGGTAAAAAACAATTTACTTTAGTTCTGAATGCTGTCACAGAGAGAATAGATTATTTTACTAAAAGATCAAATGATTATATTAATTAATTGATTCACCACTCATAATTCATAATTAAGTAATACTATTATCTTTTCAGCAATAGTTTGATATTAATTATATACAAATAATATATTAGTTCACTTTCTTAAACATATATACACACATAAATAAACGTTTCTTCTCTAAATGTTGGATATTCACTCTGTCACCCATACTTTTATTGTACTAAATGTACTAAAAGAAAGAGTTGAATTTACAAAACTAAATATAACTAAACCATACTTTTTTATTGTTAATTTCAAGGAAGAATAACATTTTAAGCATGGTAGGTAGGTTTTTCCTAATTAACATGATTAAAAAATTAAAAATTAAGAAAGAAGAAGGTATAAAATAAAAGAGAGAAAATAGAATAAATAACTATCACTTTATTTGTGAAAAATAAAAAGATACATATTTATCGATAAGCACTCGAAAAAATTTAGTTTTAACATACTCTTGATAATTTAGTAACCAATAATACTTAGTGCTTACAAATCAACACTCATCTTATCAATTAAGCTATCTTGTTCATTCTGTGGAGGTTAGAGGTTCAATATTTGATTGGCAAGGTGTCGTGGCGGGGTCAAGAGTGAGCCACCGCCCTGTTGTGCGCACACCACACGGCCCACTCTGCCTTTTAAGTCTCTATAAAAAGAGCCTCATTGCTGAAGATTTACTAACTCCCCACTCTCATCTCTCCTCCAAATCCGTGGCTTGGTTTTATTTGTAACTCTTTTGTTTGGAGGCTCTCTCGCCCCAACTCTCTGAAAACTTTTACGACCAATCTTGCCCTCTGTCGATGTGGTAACTAACCATTTTATTTTATTATTTCCCATCTCAAGTTCCAATATGTACATAAATCTTTTTATGGTATAGAAATCAAATGGTTCCTTCATTTCCTTTTCAGAAAAGGTCCCAAATTGGCCCGGAGACACGGAGAAAAAAAAAAAAAGCAAGGAGGGCCTAGTTGGGGAGTGCTATACGGAAGAAGAATAGCCAACAAAACAGGGGCTCATCTTGGCCTCGCCAGACCCTTCGAAACCCTCACGAACTCAAATTCGCTGCTGTAAGGAACCGAACCGAACCGAATATTTTTTATTTGGTTCGGTTCGGTTAGTTTTATAACCGAATAGGGTTTAAAGTTCGAAACACTGCGTGCGCCGCCATCTCTCTCACAATAGTTTCGCTTCACGACCTCCCCTCTCTCTCGCTCTCTGACCCATCTCCGGCGCCGGCGCCCATCTCCAGCGGCGAAGGTGACTATCTCCGGTGGCGGTGATTCTACATTCATGTGCTGCCCCTTTCTTCTCCAGTTTATTCGATTTCATTTCTGGATTTGCGATTCTGCATCTGGAATTTAGGAGACGAAAGGGAACCCAGCTGAAATTAACAAGTCTGGCATCTGGGTTTTAATTTTTACAGATCTGTATTGGACTATTTCTGGGTTTTGGGCTTTTACAACCTTCAATCAGGCGTTATTTGCTAACCGAGAGAGCTATCCGCCACTATTTTCTTTGCTTTCTTCTTCCTGCGGCTACCAAATTCATAGAGAAGAAGACCACACAGGTCACTCTTAGTCTCTTATCCTCTCTTAATCTCACTGGACAAAGCATATGCTCTGGTTTTTGCGAATTATAATCCGTTGTTCTTCTGTGGAAATTTCTGGGCTAATTAGCTGCATCACCTTCAAATAACTCAGTACCATTTTTTAAGTGGGAACATTCCCTTTGCAATATGATGGTGTATGTATGTAGAGGGAAATAGTAATGATTCTGTTCTTAATTTGAGTTAAATGATTCCAATGTTGTTGTGCATTTTTTGAGTTTAGTGATTACGTTCTTAGTTTTTGAGTTGAGTTTCTTGAATTTTGCTGTTTTTTTTTTCCCTTCTATTTATGAGGTCTAATTTTATCTTATTAACACTCTCCAGCGGCTTAAACCCTGAACCTAAACCCTGTGAACTGTGGAGACTGGGGAGGTGAAGAAAAACTGCCATTACCAATGCTGATTACTCGAAAGGTATCTGCTTTGATGTTGAAGCCGCTTCTTTCTCTCCATTTCGCTTCCCGTTCTGTGAGTTCGCACTATTTTTCACGTTTTTGCTTAAACCCTCGAATTCTTCACCCAGCTTCTTCCAGCCTTCCATTTCTGCCGTCGCGTTGTTTCTCCCACTCTTTGTCATCGAAACCCACACCTCCAAAATCTTCGCTTCTCTCCCGTGATGGCAACTACGACGAAGCCGCTTCCCGATTCTTCCTCGTCTGCCCTGGCTGTGGAGTTCACATGCAAGACACCAATCCCAACCATCCTGGCTTCTTCGTCCAACCCTCGAGAAAAGATTCCAATTACCGATTGCTTACTCATCTCGTGCCCGTTGATCATGAGTCTGAATGCTCCGATTCCCTGAAGAGAGGCCTCGTAATCGAGTCTGGGAATCAGAAAACTGAAGAGAATGTGATCAAGAAAGCCCAAATTCCCGTTGTATGCTCGCGGTGCCACTCCTTGAGGTTTTATGGGAAGGTGAAGGATCCTACAGTAGAGAATTTGTTGCCGGATTTCGATTTCGATCATACTATCGGTAGGAGGCTGGTGTCGACTACGGGACCTCGATCTGTCGTGTTGATGGTCGTTGATGCTGCAGATTTTGATGGGTCATTTCCAAAGAAGGTGGCGGATTTGGTGTCGGAGACAATTGAGGAGAATTCAGCTGCCTGGAAACAGGGGAAATCAGGGAATGTGCCTAGAGTGGTGCTTGTGGTGACAAAAATAGATCTGCTGCCTCCCTCGTTATCACCAACGAGATTTGAGCACTGGGTGAGGCAGAGAGCGAGGGAAGGAGGAATGAACAAGATAACAAGCTTGCACATGGTAAGCGCCGTTAGAGATTGGGGATTGAAAAATTTGGTGGAGGATGTTGTTAGTTTGGTTGGGCCAAGAGGAAATGTGTGGGCAATTGGAGCACAAAATGCTGGGAAAAGCACGCTGATTAATTCAATAGGAATGCACGTTGGTGGGAAGATCACTCAATTGACTGAAGCAGCAGTGCCTGGAACAACTTTGGGGATAATCAGAGTGGAGGGCATTCTTCCGGGTCAAGCCAAGTTGTTCGATACGCCTGGGCTTTTGAATCCGCACCAGATTACCACGAGATTGACCAGGGAAGAGCAGAAACTTGTTCACATTAACAAGGAATTGAAGCCGAGGACTTACAGGATAAAGGTAAATCTGATTTAGATGCTGATTAGTTATATATTCCTTCAAAGAACTATAAATTCATAATCTTTTAAAGAAAAAAAAAATTTGAAACTCATTAAGAGACATAAAATTTGGCATAAATTCCTCGCAAAAATACCAGCAAGTCCAAAGAATAATAATATGCACAAATAGCTTTATGATATTTCTAACATTAAATACTAGTTCGGTTTATCGACTAAGAAGATATATGATTTTTCTAATATTAAATAGTAGTGCCAAAGAATAAGTATGATAACATACATATTGAAATCTGTTATATGGATCAAACTGAAATTTTTATTGGCTAATAAGCAAAATAGCATACACGTTAATTTTAACTTCAAGCATAAGTTGAAATTGTGAGTATTAAGTTTCTACTTTTCCTTTTATCATCTCCTATAGACAACTATTTCCAGCAAATAAGGTGCTAGAGGTTTCAAAATTTTTGTCCATACTGTAGGCTGGTCATACAGTTCATGTCGCTGGTCTCATGAGACTAGATGTGGAAGAAACAACTGTAGATTCAATTTATGTTACCGTGTGGGCATCTCCTTATCTACCATTACACATGGGGAAAACAGAAAATGCAAGCAAGATACAAGAGGACCATTTTGGCAATCAGTTACAGGTATTATTTGCACTATAACCATTTGTTGTATGTTGTTGAAATTTGAGTGATGTCTCAGAATCAGTTTGTATAAGCGTATTCTGAGTTTGATTGTCAATGGCTTCCTAAATGAAATGGTTTTAGGAATGTGCATATGGTTTCTATAGTTTATCTCGTATTGATATTAATCGATACTTATGAGTTATGATCGTGTTACAATAGTTAACTGGTGATTTAACTGCAGTTTTTGTTTTCATTTTGCAACATTTGGGGTGTCATATTCTTTTTTGGAAAGCCATGATCTCATATTTGTGAAAAGTTAACTTCAGAACTTCCTTTACTTTAGAGGATAATATGAATGACGCTCTTACATTTATGTAACTATTTAGGGTTTCTGTTGTAGTAAATGTAATTGTTAAGGCATCGTCATTGTTTCATGCTTCAGCCACCTATAGGCAAAGATCGAGTTGTGGAGCTTGGAAAATGGGTGAGAAGGGAATTTCGTGTTTGTTGTAGTAGTTGGGATTCAAGTTGTGTAGACGCCGCTGTTGCTGGCCTCGGGTGGTTTGCTATTGGACTTAAAGGAGAAGCAGTCTTAGGACTATGGACTTACGAGGGAGTCGAAGTTGTTCTTAGAAGTTCTGTCATCCCTTACAGATCAAACTTCTTTGAAGATGCTGGATTTACAGTCTCAAAAATTGTCTCCAAGGCTGATCAGGCTGCAAACAAACCACTTGATCGAAGTGAAAAGAAGGGGAAAAAGGGTGACCCTAAAGTTTGCGTTGGATGAAATGATTCTACCTTAAATTTGTAGCATTGTACAGAAAGTTATCTACATCAATGTGGAATTCATGCTGAAGAATACAAGGCAGGCATTGCCTCTTCAAGACTTATGCGTGGAGATAGAGTTTTTTAAGGCTTTCGAACTTCGATGACACAAATCAATAGTTCGAATCTTAGTGAAGCTAAGGCTTGAACAAGAGCTATGAGGATGTATAAACTATAATTCTGTTAAGATGATCACTCGGCCCGCTAAACACAAGTTACTTCATCAGAGGATACTTAATACACTGCGTCATTTATAAGGATACTGGCTTGAGAGTTCAATTGTTTCATCTACTACTTTCACTTTGCTGTGCCGAAAAGTTGGTATGATTGTAGCTGCCTCTTTCTGATTCTTTCCTTACTCTTTTTTTCTTTCTTTCTATTCTTTATATTCTTTATTCTCTTTCATTTGCAGTAACCTGATTTTGCATTTCGTATAGAACTTGAATTCAACTGAATCATGTTTGACAATGCTTTGCGATGAGGATGGAACAATTTGATTCCTCTACTCTTTTTGGTATGAACAACATGCATTTGACGATTACAGGCTCTGTTGAGGATCAAAGAGGATAGCCATCTAAGTTATAACTTATAACTATGTTTTTGCACTCAATGAACTCTGTCATGAAGCCAACCATGACAAAAATTCAATCATGTAACTTATACCAGTTATAGCCTGTATAGGTTATTTTGTGAGGAGAAGAGAGATGAAGTTCAATAATTTGGTAACAAGCTACCACTGTACATCTTATCGAGCAATTTTCGTGCGTTGGGCCTTAAGCCACAAAAATCCATTTTTTTTTTATTTTTTATTTTTTTTGGCATTTTTGTAAATTATGAACAGAATTTGGTAATTGTCCAGGGGATCTCACAAGGTCAGCTCAGTATTCTCACAAGATAAAATGATCATGGATTCAAGTACCTAAATTTGCAAGTTGTATACATACCATCTGCTAATGTTCGATTTTCCCAAGCCTATCAGGAACAGTATAAGAGGACATTACTTTCCATGTCCAGCAGATGTGAAGTTGTGTCAAACTGAAACCATGCAAAGATATGCTGCATCCATAGATGAGCTGACTGTAATTTGTACATCGAGATGAATATTTACAACAATTTGGACATTCTGTAAACTCGTAGATATCCTTAGCCCGTTTTCTGTTCAGAGCTTTCCATTTGCCTATACCACCACATGTCACCTAAGAAGAAAAACAGAAAGCATCTCATGGAAAATAGGGAGCGCAGATAGATAAAGTTGATAAAAACAATTAAAAGGAAAAAGGAAACCCTCCTCAAATTTCTATTCATCTTTAGAAAGGAAAATCCAAGCATTACTCTACAACTAGCAATATAAAAGTGAAAAGGGAAAGGAGTCTTTTAACTTCAAGATAGTCTCATAAGAGGAAGAACTTGATGACAATTTAGACCAGGAAACATAGATAATGAAGCAAATAAAGAATGCCAAATGTCGAATGTTTTCCATAACCGTGAATTTTGAAAGATAATTTTTTTACCAACTTTGTATGGATTATTTCCATACGTGAGAAAGTCCAGGCACTTGAGACTTTGTAAGTGGGAAGGTTGTTCTTATCCTCTTTATCCATCATCCATATAGTTATATGAATTGGTAGAGTAATGATTTCCTGCCTTGGCACTAATCGTGTTTCCTCTCTACTCTAGTGACTGGTGTTAATGAATATCCAAACCTTGAAGAGAATTTGGGAGGGATGGGAGGATACTGTTAGAAAACAAAAAACTTTATATAAGATCTGTGCATGGGAGTAGGCTAAAGAAAATTATTTCGAATTACATGAATCCATGAGTAGAGATTCCAAATTCCTGTAGCAATATCTGCGTGGTTTGGGTCTTCCTCAACTATGCAACTTCAGACCAAAGATGGGCAATACTCCTTATTGGATGGGGAATAGGAGATTAAAGAAGCATAGTATCTGTCTAGCGGGCCACACCACATATAGGAAGTTTATGGACCCTAATTAGACCACTTATTTTCCCCATGAATAGTAGTACATTTAATTTATCATAAATTGTTACCCATTTAATGGAATCAATTAAATTCATTCCAACAATTTCCCACTTGGGTAATAGAATTCTACGACAAATAATATAAGTTTCAACTTTTAGTGCACAACCAAATACTATTTAAAAAAGACTTCCTTTAATTACAATCTGGTCCATCTTGTATACCAATGTGGGACCAAGGCGACTTTTGTGACATATATAAGCGCAACTCAACCTTCAATGATCACCACTCCAAATATACTTGATGACATAGATCAAGTGTGGAAGAGCAACATGAGAATTACATTCATAGTGATCTGTTCATGTCTATTCTCAACTGGTCCTTATCATACTTTATAGAGATCAACGCAATAAACACACACACACACACATATATATATATATATATATATAAATACATATTCATTGTGAGTTCAAATAAACCATCATCTTTGTTCTGCAGAAAAGTATAGAACAACATAGCTGTAATTAAAATTACTCACACTCAACCAAGACATTATCTATTGAAATGACATCGATACGGGCTACATGATCATGAAAGACCTTAGGTACTAAGCCTTTGGTAAGAGGATCTGCTAGCATGTTATGTGTTCTTATGTGTTCTATAGCTATCAAATTATTTTGAATTCTCTCCTTAACAACAAGATATTTTATGTCAATATGTTTTGACTTTGTCGAGCTCCTGTTGTGATTGGAATATAACACTGCTGAATTATTGTCACAGTAAATTTTCAATGGTCTTTCAATACTGTAACAACCCGTATTTTCCAATACGGCCATTCTGTCAAAATGCGGAAGCATAAACAACTAATCACTAAATTAACGGAAATACTTCTTTATTTAATACTATCGACAAAAGATAA